CCGCCGCTGCCAGCCCGGGGAAGCGCCGGCCGCGGTCTTTCCCCGTCACCCGCCCTCGCGCGCCCCTCGTCCGCGCTTCGGTCCTGAACCGGCCTCCTCTCCGGAAGGAAACGGTCCCTGTCCGGCCGCCTCCGGCTTCCAGCGCCTACGCCCCCTCTCCGGCTTCCAGCGCCTACGCCCCCTCGTCCCTCCTCCCCCGGCTCCTGCTCTCCGTCCCATTTCCCGTCCCGTCCCGCCCCTCAGCCGGCCTCCCCGCACCGGGGAGGGGGCTCCGCCGCCCTCCTCCTCGCGCGTCGGCTCCGCTGACCTCATCGGCGGAGCTCGGTCCCTGAGCCCTCAGCAAGCGCTATCATCTCCCTCCAGGCTCGCCTCCCCAGGCCCACAGCCGGTTACGTCCCGGCGTGACCCTTCCCCACTCCGCCCCGCCCCAGGTCCGCCGTGCGTCCTTTGGCGTTGTACTCACCGCCGTGCCACTCTGCGCCTTCTCTCCTACTCCTCGTCCCGCTCACTGCTCAGCCAAGCATCTGTCCCATCCCAGCACCAATCCTCCAAGCCGACCTCTCCTGCCCCTACCTGCACCCTTCACCGCCCCTCCCCAGGGGTACACAGAAGCACTATTGCCACATGGCGTCTCTCCTAAGAAAATCTCAGAGGGCTTGGAGATTCCTCTCCTGAACAGCTCAGGAAGATGATGGTGAGTGGGGGGCTCAATTACCAAAGAACAAAAATACCCCATGCTCTCCACCTGTTGTGTTTGAAAATGTGGGGCTGCCTAATGGTCCCCTCCCCAGCTCTCCTCTGGTGCTCTCTTGTCTAGAAGTAAAAACCATCAACTGTTACCCGTCTTGGTAAAAGAATGGCTCGGTGAGACTGACAAAGAATGGAGAAACGTGGACAAATTCATAGGGCCAATACACTGAAGAGATCAAACCAAGGAAATTCTTAACTCCCAACATAAGTGAACTTAATCAGAAGGTGAAATACAAAGTGTAACTTTTATTCATGCCTAGAAACCTTCTGATTTTCTAAAACCATGACAGGAAATTTTTATTTTTTCCAGTGAGGGTGTGGGGGCACGTCTTCAGCAATAGTCTCCAAAAGTTAAGTCGTCTTGGCCAAAATCATTGTAAGTTAGCTATATTGTAAAGAAATTACCTGAAGACGTTTGACATTTTGAAGAAAGGGGCATTTAACATTTTGTCTCTGATGCTTAGGCATCTAAGTACAGTCTAGAGTGCATTTGGCCTCCCAAATCCTTTCCTCCTCTTCAAATTTCAGTCTTCTGTTTTATACATCAAACGCAAAGGGATGGTATTGAATGGCATTAGACACGATGGCTGGATCCAGCAAGGTGTTGGCAGCAGCCCTGGAACAGTAGGCCTGCCTGGAGCCCTAGGAGCGGTTCTTTCCGCACCAGTCACTGGCTGTGCATGAGCACGTCTGACTAATGTTTCATCTGCTGGACGGTGAAGCTCCTTTTCCACGTCTAGGTCTTGCCCAGAGACACTTGGGAATACAGATCTTTGGACTCTTTCTCTAAGTCGAGTTTTACTTAGAACACAAAACTGGGCAAGCAGACAGGCCCCTTCTGATTCACAAATATGTCTTCCCAAGGACGTTTTTAACTTTCTAGAACACTGCTGTTCAATAGAACCATCCCTATAAAGGAAATAGTCATTATGTGCATGTTCTAATA